GTAGGCTTAATGTGTCGTAAAAATTATTCGTTAGATTTCAAGAGATTTAAAAAAGAGTATTTTGATAAACACCTAATTAATCAAATTATTTAAATAGATAAGTGTATGATTCTCTTCATTGCAACTTTAGTTTCAGTTTAATATATTGTTCCAATACAAAGAATGTATAGTATAGCACATCTTTAAACAATATTTCGAAATATAAAAAACAAACACAGATATATTTAGGTATTTCTCGACTTTATATATTTCAAGAAATTACATTTCTGCGAGTCCAGAATTATTGTTCATTATTTTAGAAATATTAAACAGAAATAAATAACATAGCTCATTTTTGTTTCTTTACGTTAAGTTTACGGAATTGCAACGCTACAATTGTGCAGTTTTGCACTAAAACACTAAAATTAAACGAAAACTTCTTTGTTTTGGGCCGGATGTGGCATAGTTGTTAGCGTGCCGATACATAGCTCGCGTTGGCTTTCCGCCAAATATTTTTGCACTTTGCGGTCGTGGGTGTGTCATAAGAGTGATGGTAAAATCCAACTCTTCAATTATAGTAGCCTAAGAGTTGGCGGTATGTGTTGTTGACTATTTGATTTCCCTTTAGTTTTACCTCATTAAGAATATTTTTATAACCTGACAAAATAATTACTGTAAATTATGATCAAACTGTGGATTCAAAGTAATTTGAATGGTTGATAATGGTTTTTGAGCAGCATAAAAGTAAAAAGAAGTTTTTAAGTTTTAGATAACGTGTACATGTTCCATCAACTTGTGAAGATGATAGACACGTTAGTGTTTGAAATGTTCAATTTATATGATCACGAGTATTATTACTTGTTGTCTAATTCTCTAAGCGAAATCATGAATAGTCGTTGATTTCATCTGCCAAATATTACGATTCTTTATTGGATTGCATAAGAATTTATCAATGTGTGTGCGTACGCAAGCGTATATGTTTGTTTGGATATAGCCAACGATCACAGATGGTCATGGATCATTTTTCAATCTAAAAAAGGTGTGAAGAAAAATTGCTTCCAATTGATAAAGTAGTATTTGGGATAAGAATGTATCGAGAAGTAAACTTCCAGGAGATGAAGCTGAAAAGTTTCTTGAGAGAGTTGATCACATCCAGATCAACTAGCATCACCCTGTACGTATGTTGAATCTCTAGGATTCCCTACTTGGAGCTCCTTAATATCCAACGTTGCGTAAGTGCACTTAGTTTAAAGAAACGCAGTTTTCTCCTAAAAGTTACACAGTGTTTGCCAATTATTTTAGAAGTATTAAATTTTTTTTTTCTTATGTCGTTGTACTCTCGTTTACGTTTATAAAAACAGCTATTAACAAACAGTCATTCAATAAGGTATTTTTGCGATGTATTTCATCGATTAATCATACATATACTGATAGCGCAAGACAGAGATCCCAAATTACAAATTCCAGATTTTCAGCAGAACATTATCAAACATGTTTCATTCATCATAGTCTTTAACCAATGGGGTAAAGAAAATAAATACTGAAAATTCAACGGAATGTTGATTACGCATCATTGCAAAATGATTCATATAATGCAATTAACTTTAATGAGATTCAATTGAAATTTTCTAGCCTGAACAGTACTTTATGCGCACGTAGGATAAAAGGCCAGCTCAGTTTGATTGTTTGCTTTCAGTTTCGCGCAAAACTACTCCATGGATCTCTGTGCTAGTCGTCTTTAATTTAGCAGTGATGGATTAGAGGGAAGGCAACTACTCAACACAACCCGCAGCCAACTGTTGGGCTACTCTTTTAACAACGAATAGTGGGATTGATCGTTACATTATAACGACCTCTCAGCTGAAAGGGCGAGAATGTTCGGTGACGGAAATTCAAACCCGAGACCGGCAGAATGCGTGTTGTGCGCCCTAATCACCAGACCATGCCAAGCCAGCCGGCTCAGAAACTCTTGGGTTTAGTTATACCTGAAAAAAAAGAGCGTGTTAATCGGAATCATATCTCGAACCTCGGACTCTTCGATCTACAGCTCCAAATTCTAAACAGTTGGCCGCACTTAACTCCAATTGGATTGAAAATATCTTAGATTCATAAAATTACGTTCATAGAACAATACATTTTAGTGCCAAGTTAACTTTGAGCGAGCCTTAGACATTATGAAAAATAAATTTCAGCTCATTTCAGGAACTGTGTCGGAATTTGAACACGCTACTCTGCTAACCAAGAAGATGCTTGAATGTTGTAGCTCTTGCTTTTCAATTCATTGATTGTTAAGAAAGGAATTTGTTAGGAGCATCGAAACCCGTCTGATTTGAAATTTCAATTCTTCTGAAAATTATAACTTCACAAGACGAAGTAGCTAACACTCTAAATTAAACTGTAAAATACTTTAGATATATACATAGAAGTATTTCACGTAACGTCTGTTATGTATTACAATGTCAAAAAATCTGAAACCGAGCTAAATGATAATTGTTGGCAAATATCATAAATTGGAGCCACCTCGGTGGCACAGCGGTATGCCTGCGGACTTACAACGCTAGAATCCGGGTTTCGATACCCGTGGTGGGCAGATCACAGATAGCCAATTGTGTAGCTTTGTGCATAACTACAAACAAACAAACATAAATTGGAAATATATCGGCAATTATTTAACTACTAAATTTGAAAATTAATGCACACACTTTTCTTTTTTTTAATACAAATATATTACAATAACAGTTATTGCAACTGGTTATTACAAACAATGATTTATATACAAAAGTTTTACAAACTTACAAGCAATATCTTATCAAGGGTTCATGATGAGCAAGTTAATTTCGAGTTTAAGTAGGTACAATTTTTTTAATAGGGCGCTAGCTAGCTCTGTGGGCCTCGCTGATCACACGCCGATTACAGGTCGAGCTGAAGTTATACAATGTCATCGTTAAAGTACTAATGTCCGATGTGAATCCACTGAAGTTAAATGCTCGAAATCTATAAATGTTCCTGGTCAAATATCTGAAGTGTCCCGATTAATAATCGTTAATCACAGTTATAGATTACAAAGTTTATAACACACCAATTACAATAACCCAATAATATATACTGTTTTCTTTTTTGGCGCGTTGCGTTGGTTATATTTATATGCGTCTGGAGAGTTTCTCGAAATTTCAGTTTTACGTAACAATACTGACGCTAACACTAGCGTTTACGTACACACATATATTGTTGATTCTTACACTCGAGAATCTTCTACAACTTTAGAGAATAGGCGGGAGTTAAGCTATACAGAGTTAACAGTATGAGTTATGTACATTTCTAAATATAAATTAATTTAAACAAACATCAATGTTAAAATAAGTATGTAATAATAAATCCGCTACATTTCTTTTAAATATATTATAGTTGAGAATTTCTTCTCTGGTTTATAACTTGGATCTCATTATAAGTTAATACTGTTCGCTTCATATGAGGTTCAAATATGATTTCCTAGCCAACAAAAATCCACTAGTTCTAGTAGGATTTATGTTTATCAGAAATTGAGTATTGTTATTTTAGTATTAAGAGAGTGTGTTAGAACTTAACATGCTCTAATACCAGTGCATCCATTCTTCTTAATCCAAACCCACTATCCGTTGGCAAAAGAGTAGTCCAAGAATTGGCGGTGAGTGGTTTTTAATAGCTGCCTTCCCTCTAGTCCATCTCTGCTAAATTAGGGACGGCTAAAGTAGACAACCCTCGATTAACTTTGCTCGAAATTCCAGACAAACCAAACCAACCCGTGACACTCGAAAGCATATAAATTATAAGAGAACTTTTATCTGTAAGTATCGAAGTAAACGTATATTCTATTTGGGAAGCTAATGCATACAAAATGTTTTTTAGTTGTACCCTAAATACTTATATTTGGAGTAACTGTATTCTTTTAATTTAAAACTAAAAATGAATGGAATTGTTGTGCAATAAATGGTTCATATCACATCTAAATATTAAAATATTTTATTCTCAGTAAGCCAGATTACACGTGAAAATATTGTTGAACAGACATAGATCCCGAATAATAAACTTAAATGAATTTAAGTTTTAAACAAGAATCGACGAATTGTCTTTATAAATATATTTTTCCATAAATTAAGTTTAAAATCATTCAAACATAAACACATTTTTAAATTTGCAGTTACTTAAAGCACAGAAATATTTTCTTAGATTATATATAGAAAGAAGTGTCTGTCTTAGTTAATAATAAATTACTGATTTTTTCTATCTTAAATTCCTGTGAAAACAAATCTGCGTGGTAATAATATAATTCTGTAATATATGAAATATGTAAATAGGAATTAGTCACTGAAGATGAAAATAATTAATTTCAACTTTGTCTGCTCAAAGCGCTGTAAAAGTAAAATATTCAATACTTTTTTATATTTCACGTGAGGAAGATAATATTTGTTCTCATATTCTCCTTATAATTATACAATATGATTGAGTAACAAGAACAACAAACAAATATAGCTTCAGACTGATATAATTTGAATATATAAATAAGTCTTTAACGTTTGAACCAAATGATTTTTGTCTTGTCGAAGCCTACATAACTCAAGTTCCTTTACAGGGAATTTAACTGTTTATTTATATTTTCTATGTATATACATCGTATAACTATATATTTACTTTAATTCTTTAAAATATTTATTTATTGAAAAGGCCAGCTTTTGGAATATGTGGCAGCGTAAAAAGGTATACTTTTACGAATTTTATAAACTCTGACACAGTGAAACAAGCGTGACCATCGTTTTTCGTACTTAGATTATTATATTGTCAGCCTACTTATCCTGTACGAAGTAACAGATTTGCCAGTCCTTAGCCCAGTAATTGTAGATACGAAATTATGGATTCTTATTGTTGATAATACTGTACCTGAACTGGCAAACCGCCAACTTCCACTCGCACTTTCATCTGAACTCAGTCATCACCCACTAGGTGGGGCTGTTTCCCATGGATAGAAGAGATCGCTCGGTGTAACGTCTTCGGCCTCTTTTCACGCTGCGAGCTGTTCACCGAAAGAACGCGCTGTACTTTAGGTTGCTTGCTGTTAGTCCAGAAGCAAGATAGGTAAGCACAGCAGAGAGGAAAAGCAAGTCTGAAGGCATTTCACCATCGAGCACGAGCGTGTACCATTGTTTTACTCCTGTCTTTTTACGGTCCCTTTTTTTATCTTATGATTAGGTGTGCGATGAACAGCTTAGGGCAACTAACCTTGCCTCAAATAGTCTGTTTCTGAAGCAACATTTTATTGAACTGAAGGACATGGAACAAACGTGGCGTAATTTTATCATGTCAGAAAAGAAAAAACATTTTTTTCTAAGTGTAGCACTCGGAACATTACTCATTTTTGTGCTGACAAACACAGAAGGTGAGTAATTTTCATTGTTTCACGATGAGAGGAATTAAATGAATTTTTATTTGTTAGAATAACTAACTAACTTAGATTGTTGGATGTTGATTTAAATACTAAAACCTTCTTGACTTTTAAAACTTGTGTATTTGAGAATGATTGCACCTGTGATCGTAACGTCGTATCTGTTCTAAAAAATAATCTTCCTTACTGTAAAAGCTGCAACTTGTAATAAAATAATAAGTGTGGTTGTTTTAGCTACAATAAGCCACATTAGGTAGTTTTTTCAAACGAAATTGGTCAGTGTATTTCAGAATATGTTTACCGAAGTCTTTCAGAGATATGAGAGAGAACAGTTGATCAGTTACTTTTATGAGAAAATACTGAATTATTCAGAATATAATTTATATGTTACTCTACGTTTTGCATAATATTTTGAAATATTTCATCAAAATGTTGAAACATACTTCGGCATGAGTATGCCGCAAAGTACAGAAACTTGATTAATATGCATGCATTGTAACTCTTTTGCAAGACCTCTTTTTGTCCCTAATGTTGCGAGTAATCAAGTCATGCACGACTGACTTTTACTGCTTGAAAAGGGTCATTTAAGTTATGCTTTGACTAGAAATTTTTTCCGTAAAGCAAGCATACTTTGAAAGTTTAACAAGTGATTGTTGATGGCGCCAGAAACAAATGTATTTCCGTTTTTGAAAACTCAAACCTGATATTATACATTAAAATTAAATATAACAGCTACTGGATATGTCATATTTTTCCATGAAGTATATAACATAATAGTAAATAAAACACTTTATAGTTTACATTTGTGAAAACTTTCTTCCTGCGGCTTTCAGTGTTTACAAATTTTCATATGACTAAATCAGTATTAGATAATGTATCCAGAACCAACATTCATCTTCTTAGCAAGTAAAAATATATACATAATGTATCCAGAACCAACATTCACCTTCTTAGCAAGTAAAAATATATACATAATGTATCCAGAACCAACATTCATCTTCTTAGCAAGTAAAAATATATACATAATGTATCCAGAACCAACATTCACCTTCTTAGCAAGTAAAATATATACATAATGTATCCAGAACCAACATTCAACTTCTTAGCAAGTAAAATATATACATAATGTATCCAGAACTACATCACT